GCTGATAAATGTTCTGAAAAAAATAATAAAATAGGGGGATGGGATGAGGGCTAAATTTAGGCCTCTCTAGTAAGCTAACTTTTGATCTGAGGCCTGAATGGAAAGAAAGAACAAGGAATACAGAGATGCAAAGAAATAGCATTCCAGGAGCTTGTGGGGAGGAGAGAAAGGGAACTTAGTGTCTCACCCAGGCAGAGATTGAGTTGGGGAAGATGAAACCATTCTGGGGATGAATGTTGGTGACGGTTGCACAATGATGAATGTACTTAATGTCACAGAAGTGTACACTTTAAAACTGGTTAAAATGGTCAATTTTATATTATGCATATTTTAATCACAATTGTTTTTTAAAGGTCTGTATTGATATCAGAAAAAGTAGAAAGCCATCTCTCTGAAATCTAGTTTTCACTGAATATTGATTTTCATTTGTGAACAAAAAGTGAGTACTGTTGTCCAAGTCACATCCATGGCAAGAATTAACAAAAGTTTTATTTGGATGTAAATCCTTATGCTAAAGTGATCCAGAACAAATGCAAGCAAGAACTGAGGTTAGGATCACCATCACTGGGCCAGAGTCTGCACGCTAACTGCATGAGAAGGTAACCAGATTCCCCCAAGCGTCTAGCAGACAAACAGTAGGCTTGTCGCTTATCACCATGGCTACAAAATCCTTTGGGCATAAAGTAGGATCTATATTCTTCAGAACTGGTCTGGGAGAATGGCTTTGCCTTCAAGTCTAGCAGATGCAATGAGGAGAGGAATTCCTAATAAAATGGACAGTAAACTAGTTGAAATCTCTGCCGCTAAGTCAATCTGAGGCAGGAGAAGAGGAGTCTGGCACATCACTGACACTAATGTTTTTTTTTTTTTTTTAAAGGAAGAAAGAAAGAGCTCCTGCAGATGTTAAAAACCAAACATAGACTGAATGAAAAAGAAAGTAGCTAAATATGCTGAGATTGGAGTTTATGTATATATGTATATGTATATATACATACACACAGAACTATGTCTTATGTCATAACGCTGATTCCTTTTTGAAGCCTAATATGAATTTAACACAGAAACTGGAAGAGTGAACATGGAAAGTTGTTAGCCTGATTCCTCTGTCAAGCCCACCATTCACTCGGGCTAAATTTACCAGCTTCCAAAAGGATAGTAATAATGGTTGCCCTGTTGATAGACAATTTTTAAGGTCATCAATTTGAGGTAATAACACCAGAGACCTTAAAAATATTTTGGGGGTGGGGGCCCAGGTGGCGTATTAGGTTAAGCATCCAACTTTAGCTCAGGTCATGATTTCATGGTTCACGAGTTCTAGCCCCACGTCAGGCTGTGTTCTGATAGCTCAGAGCCTGGAGCCTTGCTTCAGATTCTGTTTGTGTGTGTATCTCTCTCTGCCCCTTCCATGCTTGTGCTCTGCCTTTCTGTCTCTGTCTCTCTCTCTCAAAAATAAACATGAAAAAACTTTTTCAAATAAAATAGCTACTATTTATTAAGTATGTATATGTGACTGATACTCTTGCATGTTGTATATAACCTCATTGGGTTCTTTGAGCATCGTATATGTTACCATTATCGTTGAACAAATGAAAAACCTGGGGCTCTGACAGGTTAAGTAGCTTGGCTTGTTCAAGGTCACCAGCACATAATCAGCAGAACCGGGATACAAACACAGATCCTTTAGACTCCACACTCATACTCTTTGCACATTTGTATCAACTATAAGAAAATTTCCAGTTACTTCTACATTTATTAATTCCATTTTAAGAAGTCGCATTTTATCATCCTGAAAATGTTATTCCTAATGCATGTTGCCAGCATCTGGAACACTACATATCTGAAAAGCTATTTTTTTCAGATGCTTTCCATTTTCTCATTTAATTCTCATAGTGTTGGAAAAGACATATTTTAATTCCCATTTTACACATAATGAAAATTGAAATGCAAAGATTTTAAGTGCTTTGCATGAAGGACTAATTAGTGGCTGAGGCCAGCATTCAAACTGAAGTCATCTTGCTCTACATCCAACACTCTTTTCAATACACAGGTGGAAGTCGACTTGAGTCTGTGGGGTTTCTGAACAATTGTGGAGGAAAGGTAAAATTTCCAAAATGACTTTAAAATATTTCTAATAGAGTATCACCCTCTTTCCAGTCCCTATCCACAGAGTAACAGCATTACGTTTGCTGTGTACCTTCTAATACTTTTTTAAAGGGCTAATAAAAACAGATACACATTTACGTGGTTTCAATTTTTTTAGTGTTTTGAAATACCATTATCCTATAGATATTATTTGCAATTAGATTTTTTTCAGTTTATATTACTTCAGATAAATCATATGGACCTAATTACTTTTCAAGATATGGGAGAATTTACATAAGAACATGTTTAAACAAGGACAGAAATTCAATGCAACAAATATTTACAGAGCACCTACTATGTGCCAGGCACTGTTCTATGCATGCTGGGATACAGCAACGAATAAAACAAACAAAAGTGCTTGCCTTTGGCCTGCCACGGTTTGCCATTGTATAGTGACCCTACTTTTTATCAATAACAGTTTTAGCATATGTGTTTGCTAATAAAACATATAATGTATTATATTAACAGTAGCGTAAATTATATGGAATTTATTCAGTCATTTACTTATTGGTTGACATTCAGTTTATGCTTTGTTTTGATTTTTACAATCAACACTGCCATTAACACCAAAATTACATATGTCCAATGTAATGATGACTTTATTTTTTCTGAAGAATTGGTTTTTAAAAATAGGATTGCCAACTCAGCAGTGTACATACATACATACATACACCCATATATGGTTCAACTTAAAATTTTTTTATTTATTTCTTAAGTAAACTCTATACCCAGTGTAGAGCTCGAATTCATGACCCCAAGATCAAAAGTTGCATGCTCTACCTGAGCCAGGCAGGGGCCCCATTTATGGTTTAGCTTTTAATAAATTCATTAAATTACTTCTAATAAAAGATTTTTAGCAACTATCTTCTTCCACCAACTTATGACAGTGCTGATTTCTCTACATCCTTATCAACACACTGAGTTTTAAGTCTTTGAAAATTTTGTTAAGCTGATAGACAAAAAAAAAAGTTTGATATTACTGACTTAGTTTGCATTCCTCTGGCTTTTCTACTAGAAATGGTTGAGCATCCTGACATATGTTTACTGACCATTTGTATTTCCACTTAACATTAACTGCTAATATTAGAGTCAGGCACTGGAATGTGCATCATCTCATTTGATTATCACAACAACCCTATAAGAGAGATAACATTTTCTTCCTCTTCCCCTTTTGCAGATGAGAAAACTATTTCCAAGAGGTTATGAAATTTGCCCAAGTTCACATAGCTGGCAAAGTGATAGAGTGAGGATTTTAACAAGTCTGACTGTAGACCTTCTGGGCTTAACTACTACATAAACTGCCTCTGCTGCCAAGGAACATTTTCAAGTCATTCCCTCCAGCCTCATTCCCTCCCTTTTAGTGAAGTCTGAACAACTTGGTTAAACTAGCAAATATTTGATTCTTGCAGAAGACACTATGGTAGACATTATTGGGTGGTCTGGAGAGCTCCTGCCTCCAAATCTTATTGGGGAGCAAAAGTACATTTTATGTAAGATATATATGTATCTAGTTTTGGGGGCGCCTGGGTGGCTCAGTCAGTCAAGCGTTTGACTTCAGCTCAGGTCATGATCTCACAGTTTGTGGGTTCGAGTTCTGCATCAGGCTCTGTGCTGACAGGTTGGAGCCTGGAGCCTGCTTCAGATTCCGTGTCTCCCTCTCTCTACCCATTCCCTGCTTACACTCTGTCTCTTGCTCTCAAAAATAAACACTAAAAATTTTTTTTTAATATATGTATCTGGTTTTTAAAGAGATTTTATTTAATGTCAACAACTTTGGTGTGATCAGCAAATTTATCAATGTAGAGAAGTGAACAAATCACACAGAAGTCTGCAGCCAGACAAAATTTAATATTATTCAAAGAGTAGTGTAGGGAATATGACAAACAACTCTGAAATGGGAGTTAAAGCTGATGTAGCTTTAATGTAGGAAACAAATCACTTTCGAGATGGTGTTATTTCTAAAGAAAAGCAATACTAACCTGGTTGAACAAAAACTACCACACAGACCCCTCCCACCCATTCGTCCTCACCAACCAACTTCATTCCCCAGGTGTGCTCAGTGGCTCTGGTACTATCCACCCAGGTGGTGCTGAAGCAGGTGCTTACTCTCAGCTTTGTGAAGCCATTTCCAGTACAGCCCTAATACCCTTGGTCTCCTCTTGCTTCCCAAATCATGAGCTGTCAACCGACTTCTCCCATGGAGACGCTCCAATCTCTCTTAATAGGAAAATCTAAATTCTGCCGTGTCGCAAGGGGTGTCCTACCAATAATTTTGTGACCAATCCCTCCTCTTGGCCATTGTCACAAGGGTTATTAACCCATTTTTCAAGATCTATGTAAATATATGTGACTCATTACACTGTGTCATCCTTGAGACAAAGATATGCATAATAGAAATAGACATCTATAAGAAGGTGCAGTTCCTTGAGTATATATTGGTGGTTCTTCTTCTTCTTCTTCTTCTTCTTCTTCTTCTTCTTCTTCTTCTTCTTCTTCCTTGCGCACATTTCTAATCCAGTTTAGCAGGTCACATTAGATGGAATTGCGCCTTCCCTCGGCCATTTCCCCTAAGCTTTGGAAGGACTCCTATTTCCTGACATTTAAATCACTGCCTAGCGGTTTCCTGCCCGGTTTCCCGTCTCCCTTTCGCCTCTCAGTCTCTTGCTGGCTGGGGCCCGATTCGCCAGCAATGGTGTTCATATTCCTTAATCGACCGAAGTGGTATCTAGATGACGAGGTCTCGGTCCTTGGTGTAGTGTCGCTTAACCGAGCACCCCAGTATCTGCTCCTTCCCAATCCTCTCCCCCGCCCGCCCCGCGCGGCTCTAGGAGGAGCCTAAATGTCCTCTTCCCCAGCTGAAGGGGATTGTGGTGCGTAAACAAGATTAACTCTCTCGCCCCCAGCTGCGCAGATCTGCCCCAGGCCTGCCGGCGGGAGCGAACCCATCATTGCGCGCAGGGCGCAGCACCGGGGCGGGGGATGGGGAAGCTCGGGGCCTCGGAGCCATCTCCCGGGCGCGCTTCCTCGCCGAGGGGGGCGGGAGGCCACGGCCTCAGGAGCTGCTTCTCAAAACCCAGGGCGAACGGCCGCGACCACGCGGGCTCTTAGCTGCAGCCTCCCCTCCGCCACCACCCTCCCCCGCCCCGTGCTTCCTCTCCGCCCACCACGATCTAGCCGCTCCGCCGCAGCCCGCTCGGCCCTCCGCCCCCCGGAGCCTCCGCGCCGGTCCCGCGGCCAGCCATGGGGGACCTGCCAGGGCTCGTGCGCCTCTCCATCGCGCTGCGCATCCAGCCCAACGACGGCCCGGTCTTCTTCAAGGTGGATGGGCAACGCTTCGGCCAGAACCGCACCATCAAGCTGCTCACCGGCTCCTCCTACAAGGTGGAGGTGAAGATTAAGCCCACCACTCTGCAGGTCGAGTGAGTAAGCGCGCGCACTGCGGCTACCCGGCCCCGCTAGGGGTCCACGCGGAGGACCGAGGCCCCCGGGACAGCCTGAGCCTCTCCCAGTCCCTCTGGCGTCGCGTCGCGCCCAGAGGGCCCAAGGGTGGGGGGAAGAGGTCAGTTTCCTGTTCCTTCTGGTCCCCTCTGTTTTACGCTTAACTTTCCTTATTCACGCTTCCCTTCCACCCGCCGCCGGGAGGGATGTTTAAAACAGCGTCGGGAAGCCAGGGTTGGGCCGAGAGCTTGTTTTCTCGCAATTTTTTCATCTCTTCTGCCCAGCCCTTGGCGCAGACCCCCAGGCCACCCGGGTGGTTCACCTACCGCAATCCCTGTCCTGGCGTCTCGCCAGGTTCTGCCAACCGAGAAAGGCTGAGGAATGAGGTGTAAAGGCGGGGATGGGATAATTATTGGGGTTCCCTAAGGGATGTTCCTTACTCCGCCATCCGCCTTTATGTGGCTGGAGACCCTGGGGCAGGAGTAGCAGCCATAAATCCGAGCTCAGTCTCCCCTGCTTAGGCCTCGTTTCACGGTTTTCCCCGCCAGGTGTTTTTGATTTTCTCCTGATTTGTTTGTTCACCCTCGTGATGGTGCCTGGAATTAGCAAACCCCTGGCGCGCGCGCCCGCGCGCGCGCGCACACACACACACACACACACACACACACACACACATATGTTTCTTGGTTTGTTTGTGGCAGGGATTATCTCTTCCCTGCTACCACAGTTTGGTGCACCCAGTAGACTTCTTCAGTATAGAATGGTGCAGTAGCTTACAGGGAAGTATCTAGGGATGGAGTCCGTTACCTCTCAGCTTCCACTTAAGCATGGTGTGAAGTCTAATACGGAAAGGGGAAATAAACCAGCATATACTGTATCTACCATGTGTTGGAGCTTGCAGGGTGGGGAAGGGTTTTGAATCCACCAGATACCTTTTATAGCTGAAGTGTCATCTGTAGTCACTAAATTCAATAAACTTGTATTGGCATTCTAGGTATCACGCCTTAATTCAAGGACCTAGAACAAAACTGGTTTGTTTCCGGTGCTCTGGTCCACCTACTCCTCACTGTCCCCCACAGCTACATGCACTGGTTACCTTCACATTTGCAGTGTTCTGTGCATCCCCAGATGATCCAGACTTCCTTTCCCATCTTTCCTGGCAACCTTTTCTCCCAAGTTATCTATTCTAGATCCCATTTTCTTCAAGGTGGCTCTCTATTTTTTAAACTAACCTAAAATGAATGTGTTAATGACGACTATTTTTTTCTATTTACACTTTAATTTTGTCAAGGTTTTTTTTTTTATTGCCCTAAAATGCTTGTTAAAACATAGATGGCTGAGCCCCACACTAGAGTTTCCAGTTTACTACGTCTAGGGTAGGGCTTAAATTTTGTTTTAAGCAGGCAATACTGTCGCTCCTGAAACAGGGACATACCTTGAAAATCACTACCTTAACACAAAGGAATGATGTCAGTGAGAATTTCTCCTTCTGTGGCTGGCTTTGAGTCACCCAAATCATGGGACCTCTGATTGTTGGAACTGAAAAAATCATTAAATAGTTCAGTGTTTCTCAACCCTACCTGCATGTTAGAATCACCTAGAGAACCTTAAGATAAATTTACCAGTGCCCAGACCACACCCAACCAGTTGAATTCTAAGTTCCAGGGTTTGGAATGGGGCTGGGTGAGGGTAAGTTTTTCATAACCCCACAGAAGACAAACTATAGAGGAGGACTGATGGAGTCTGACTCGGCCTTGTACAAGTACTCTGAGGTCAGTACAGAGAGTTTAAGTAATTGGTCTAGCGTCACGTGACTGGTTAGTTGGAAAACTCAAGACTTCTGACTTTGCGGAACTTTCTACAACACCAGAATATCTCCTTTAGCCAGACCCAGTAGGATTCCTGCCTAGGGTGTGGTCCAGGCCAGGATGGGGTACCTAAGCTAATTCCTAACATGTATAGTTAACTTATGTCCATTGCAGGAACATTTCCATTGGTGGTGTGCTTGTCCCATTGGAGTTGAAGTCTAAAGAGCCTGATGGGGACAGAATTGTTTACACGGGCACATATGACACAGAAGGTGTGGCCCCAACCAAGAGTGGAGAACGGCAACCCATCCAGATCACAATGCCGGTAAGGCCTACTTCGGGGTGTCAGGGCAAATGGAAGCCATGGAAAAGAAACTGTCACTATCTCTCCTTAAGAAATAAAAGGAAATACTATGAAATTACAAAATATTATTTTAATTCATAGTTTCATATTGGGATCTATTTGTCCATAATATCCCAATGCAGCTAATTAAATAATCCGTGCTTCCTCAACAGTCAGTTTCTTAGTAATTTCTTATATGGCAAAAATATTAAATCTCTTTCCACACTTTCTAATCTATTCCATTGATCTGTCTAAGGCTAATACTGCATTCTTTTAAATGTGTTGCTTTTATAATATGTGTTCATGTATTTTGTAAGTGGCCACTTTACTGAATTTGCTTACTAAAATTTTTCATTTAATCTTAAGTTTTTCAGATAGGCAGTCATAATCTACATATAACTATCATTTTCTCAATTTTCTTTCTAGCCTTACTGCATTGGCTAATGTTTCTAGAATAGTGTTGCTTGCTAATTGTGGTAAGAGGTATCCTTGTCTTCAGGGTTTTACTGTTAGGTACAATGTTAGTTTTAAATATTTATCATGTTAAAGCATCCTTTTTCTAGTTCACTAACAGGTACTTTTTTTAGTTGGGAGATGTGTTGAATTTTATCTAATTCCTTTTCCCATCTGTGGAGATAATTGATCTCCTTTGATACATTAATGTAAGAACCATATAATAAACTTTCAAATACTTAACTACCCTTTACTTCCTAAATAAACCCTATTTAAATGTTATGTATTTTTTAAAATATAACACTAAATTTAATGTGCTAATATTTTATTTAGGATTTTTAGGTTTTTTTAATTTTTTTTATGTGCTTGATTCATCAGCAGATATGAGGATCTCTTAACTATCAGGCACTGGAGAGGATTAATGAACAAAACAGATATCCCTGTCTTCATGGGGCTTCTAATCTAGAGGAGGAAAACATACTTTTTACATGATTATCAATAATAAATAATTATTATTATACAAAATATACTGAAAAAGTAGTGTCTTTGGAGCATATACCTAGTGTCTTATCCTAATCCAAGATTTGGGGGATGGTTCTTGAAAAATAAATAACCAATAAGTAAGAGTTGAGAGAGTAGGCAACACTTGAGGAAAGAGGAGCTACAGAGGTCAAGAACTGAGGGAGAGTATAATGTATTGTAACAAAGGAGAGAAGCCCAGTGGGGGTGGAGCAGAGAGGGAAGCAGAGACTGGCTCAAGATAGAGCTGGAGCAGCATAGGTGGATTTCACTACCTCCTCTCCAAGGCCACTTTCAGTTCTCACATGGTATAAGGATTACGAATTTACCCATAAGGGGATGATTCTAGTTATGTGATGAAGAAAGTCAAATTCCCAAATACTGTCATTTAGGAACACACTGAATAGGTCCGAAGGCCAACAAGTCCCTAGTAAGATTCCTTTTTGATTGAGCAGATATAGAGAGGAGGGGCTGAGAATATATCCCAGCATCTCAAGGGATTTGCATATTTCTTAATGTGAAAAAAATTAAAAATTAAATGTGAAAAGGGGTACCTGGGTGGCTCAGTCAGTTGAATGTCTGACTTGATTTCAGCTCAGGTCATGATCTCAGTGGTTTCATGAGTTCGAGCCCTGTGTCGGGCTCCACGCTGACAGTGCGGACCCTGCCTGGGATTCTCTGTCTCTCCCTCTCTCTGCCCCTCCCCTTGTCATGCTGTCTCTCTTTCTCCCAAATAAAATAAACTTTAAAAATGAAATAATAGGGGCGCCTGGGTGGCTTAGTCGGTTAAGCGTCCGACTTTCGCTTAGGTCATGATCTCGCGGTTCGTGGGTTCGAGCCCCGCGTCGGGCTCTGTGCTGACTGCCAGCTCAGAGCCTGGAGCCTGTTTCAGTCTGTGACTCCCTCTCTCTCTGACCCTCCCCTGCTCACGCTGTCTCTCTCTCTCTCTCCTAGAAATAAATAAAAAAAAAAATGAAATAATATATCAAGTTTCAGAAATTTGAACAATTGTTTTTTTAATTTTTTTTAGTGTTTGTTTATTTTAGAGACAGAGCATGACCAGGAGAGGGGCAGAGAGAGAGAGAAGGAGACACAGAATCTGAAGCAGGCTCCAGGCTTTGAGCTGTCAGCACAGAGCCCGACACAGGGCTCAAACCCACAAACCTCAAGATCGTGACCTGACCCAAAGTTGGACACTTAACCAACTGTAGCACCCAAGCACCCCGAGAAAATGTTTAAATCAACAGTAATCCCTACATTTTTGACTCTGTTGATTTTCAGATTACCTTCCAAATGTATATAGTTTAGAGTTTGGTCATTTTTACTATATAATTGTCCAACATTCTGCACATTCATTGTTATAATTTTAATGGCAACATAAGACTCTATAATGCTATATCATAGTGATTAGACTGTTTCCCAAGCATTAGATATGTCAGTTGTTCTCATCATAAAAAGGGCTATGGTCAAATTGTTTCGCCAAAAGAAATCCTTATGACTGTTCCCACATATGGCCATATTTTTAAAGTGTTGTATGTACCATTTCACAATGTTACCAGCAATATAGAAGTCTACTGGCTTTGCTATAGTTATGACATAGTTGGGAATTACTTTAAAAAATAATAAATCTTCTACTTTACACTCTTTACTGTCATTTACAAGAATGAACATTTCAACATTTAATTTTCTTTTTGTGTAAATTGGTTCTTTCATGTTTTGTCAATATTTCTATCAAAGATTATTTTTTAAAAATCAGTGTCCTAAGGCATGCCTGCGTGGCTCAGTTGGTTGAGTGTCCGACTCTTGATTTCAGCTCAGGGCATGATCTCAGGGTCATGGGATAGAGCCTCTCATCGTGCTCCAAACTGAGCATGGAGCCTGCTTAAGATTCATTCTCTCTCTTTCTCTTCTCTCTCTCTCTCCCTTCCTTCCCCCCCCCCCGCTACCCTGCTCACATGCACTTTCTCTCACTCTACAATGAAATAAAATAAAAAATTGGAGTGCTTGTAAAGTTTTTTTTTATGTCATATCTGTCATATTTCTCTCACTATTGCTTTGCTTACTTTCATTTTCCATTGTGTAGGAACATAATTACATATAAATCTCTCATTTTCCTTTATGATTTCTTCTATTTAAAATTGAGTTATTTTTCCAGAGTTGTCAGTCTATTTCAATCTTTCCATAATTTTAGATTTTATGTTATTTAACTTTCCGCTTATTCAAACCTGATTTATACATTTATGCTATATATCATCTAACAAAGGATTTAATATCATATTAGCATTTTTTTTGAATCCCAGTAGTCAAGCCCAGGTTCTTACCTATAATGCCCACACCTAGAAGAAGCAAGTGGTTGATAGTTGTTCCAATAATGATCACATGGCTTTTGGTATGAGCATTGGCCATGTACTTGTATGTTATCTGTAATAGGCTGATTCTAAGGGAAAAAAATTGAAATTAGAGGTTTCCTGATCAAGTCAGCAGTCTTAATGTTAAATTCAAATTTCATTCTAGTAATGAAAGCCTCACATAGCCTTTAACTCTATTTTATGATTTTTGTCATCAATGTTTCAAGCTTATGTATAGTAAATTACAGACACAACCACAATTTCACAGACAATAACGAAGTCTTGAAATAGCCAGGTAAATCCAGTTAATCAAGTAGGTGAATCTACCAAGGGAAGCTGAATTAAGGGTATACAAGAGCAACTTCTTAGGAGTATAAAGTTACTTCAAAGTGTTTTTTTTTTTTAATGTTTTATTTCGGGGAGAGAGAGAGAGAGAGAGAGAGGCAGCGTGAGCAGGGGAGGGTCAGAGAGAGAAGGAGACATAATCAGAAACAGGCTCCAGGCTCTGAGCTAGCTATCAGCACAGAGCCTGACGTGGGTCTCAAACCCATGAACCATGAGATCATGACCTGAGTCGAAGTCGGACGCTTAGCCGACTGAGCCACCCAGGCGCCCCTCAAAGTGTTTTCTTTAATCATTAGATAAATAATATTGGGATTATTGGCTATTTGGGGGGAAAAATCAGTTATTTTTTCCTGATATCATACCTCAAAATATATTTCAGATGGATCAAGAAGTTCACTGTAAATAGTCAACTTTTTTTTAAAAATTGGCATGGAAAGAATTAACTGAAACCTGAAAGAAATGGAAGATATCCAAAGCTAAAAATTGAAAGCTTTGATTATATGCAATGTAAAATTTCTGTCAAACATCATAAAATTAAATTTTCATTAAAATGAATTTAAAATTTTTTTTAAACATTTATTTATTTTTGAGAGAGAGAGACAGACCAAGCACAAGCCAAGGAGGGGCAGAGAGAGAGGGACAGAATCTGAAGCAGGCTCCAGGTTCCGAGCTGTCAGCACAGAGCCCAAAGTGGGGCTCGAACTCACAAACTTTGAGATTATGTCCTGAGCTAAAGTCAGATGCTTAACTGACTGAGCCATCCAGGTGCCTCATCATTAAAAAAATAATTTAAATTAAAAGGCAAATAGCGATTGGTGAAAAACTTATTTGTAACATGCATAGTATCCTAAGCTGTGTTGCCTTGATTTTCAGCCACTGCCCATGCAGACCTTGCTTGCTGCTGTTAGTGACTTTCCACAGCCCTTTACTACCCACAGAAGCTGAAGTCAGGAAGTAATCAAATGATATCTGACTTAGGCTGATGGCAGTGATCTCTTTATTCAGATAATTCCAGAGACCCCGTATTGGGAGTGAATAAAGTGATATCCAATTCTAAAAGCTCTCAACCCACATTTGAAATGCCAGTGCTGACTTGTCCCTTAATGTGACTGATGCCCCATGCAGTCCCTCCGAGGTGAGAGTCCAGGTGGAGATTCTGTCTGCACAAATCATCCCATTATTCCCCTTTTGTTGGCCCCCTTCAGAGGGAGGCTGGTGGGAGTTTAAAGGAATAGGGCAGGGAGTTACATGAGCTTGTTAGGAGGCTGTGTGCACAGAGGTAGGTAGCCTTACGCGTGTCTTCCCAAATAGAAAAGT